CGGGGCGCTGCCTGTGGCAGGCGTGAGGGAGAGCCGGGTGTCCGCAGGGGTGAGACTGTGGCGGTGGGCCGCTCCGGGGCTGGAACCGGGGGGTGAGCTGTGGAGGGAGGACAGAGCACGGTCAAGCCCTCCATGTGCTGCTGGACCTGGCCTTCCAGTGGCCGTCATGCCAGAGGGCTGAGGTCTCAGCCTTGACACAACCAAGGGGTTTTGGCTAAGTCTCAGAATTCCCCCTCCTGGCTGTGGAAGTCCTGGCTGCAGTCTCCAAAACGGCTGGCCCTCCCTAGTGATGTGACTGGGGAACAGCCTGACCATTCCTGCCCATGCCTGCAAACAAATAAAAAGCCTACTGTGTTTTTAAAATAGTCTTATCTTGTTCCAGCTGAGCTGTTTTCCGAAAGTCCAGGGCCCTCTCCTAACCTGACAGGTTTTGGAGCAACGCAACATGAGACCTAAAGGGTTAGCCCAGATGATCCACGCTAACCTTGCAGACGGCAATTACAAAGGAAGGTCTCTTGTTTCAGCCCTAACAAAATGACCAACAGCACATCACTGTGCTGCACAAGATAAATTAAGCAGAACTCCACCAGATGATTTCTGAACTTAGCCTCGTCCCTGCCAGCAAAGTCCTCAAGGAACTACGCAGTGTCCTTTGGTCTTGCTGCCCCTCCTGAGCAAACCCTGCCTATAAGCACTAGGAACCAGGAATTAGCACTCATCTGTTTAACGGTGATCATGACACACTGCTGAGGTCAGCTCTCCCGGAATTCGGGAGCCTGTTGCCTGTCTCATGTTGCAAAAAGTGTGATAAAGCTCCAGGTCTGTTTCCAGAATGATGTTGCCTTTGACTTCCAGGTTGGCTGATTGCTTAGGTGTAACCTACATACAGCTCCACTACACGTATGTACAGACCAGAAGCCGAGTTCACACTGCAACATTCCCTCACTTAAATGATTCAACAGTAGGACTGGCCGGAAAATGCCCATTTCACAAATGATTTCAAGGTTTCATAATGTGGTTTGGTTCTGCCTCAGAGCAAAATTTGAATCTTTGAACATTCTTCTGAGCACAGTCTACTCACCCACCACACAATAGCCTCTATTTTGGACAGGGCATTCACCTGGGACGTGAAAATGTAGGATCTGGTCACTGTGCTGTTCTCTGTGGAGAATAACTCTGGGCAGCTGTCTATTCCCTTTGCAACCTGAGCCAGGACGGCTTCATGGCTGAAGGCTGGTTGAACTACATCCATTCTTGACAACAAGCTTTGAAACCCACAAATCAGCTTCTCTTTGACCAAGAAGCATTTTTTCTGAAAAACTTCCGACCCACTGATCTGTGGTCATATCTGAAGGATACATTTTTACACAGGACCAGCTGGAGCTCAATCAACCTATAACTAAACAGTAATGCTAGAACAACTTGAGCCACTATTTTCTGTTCCTGTGGTCAACAGGAGCACCCATTAACAGGGATTGAAACGACAAGGAGTGCCATTAATCATACTACACCATCTGAGCACTCCTGTCAGGAGGGAATTTCATCCCCCAGCCTTATGGCCTATTACCTGAAGCGATACTGAACATGATGGGCCAGTGATCATCAGATTAACACCTCCAAAGTTCACATGATCCTCATGGTAACTACCTGACTTTATAACATCTCTTTTTATCAATGTTGCTCACAGCGAATCAACAAAACTATCATTAACCAGTCTTGAACTTGATGTGATTTTGCCATGTAGCATGAGGAAGGGTCTAAAAGTTGTTATTATAGACACCTTCAAGACTATTCTTACTATTAGTTACCATTTCCCCCTCCCTGGATTACCAAGAACATATGCTGGAAAGTGCAATTCCTTTCCAGAGAGAGAGACTCAGACAGGGCACCACTAGTTATGTTGAAGTGATTCCCTCATTTTGATTTTCCTGTTTGCAACCTGTGTGATGAGCAACCACTGCTGCCAGAAATCTAATTTTCTGGGATGGTTAAGCTTGCAGGGTTAAGGTTTTGAACTACTGGCATAGGGAGCAATGGCTTTCCTAAATTTAGAGGAAAAGCACAATAATAGAATTTCACTGCATGGACCTGGATGCAGAAGGCTGATTTGATAATCATATTAGGTACTTTAGTTCTTTCATATAGGACTTGGTGTTTCCAGACACAAAGGAAACAGAAAACATGAGAAACAGTAAAATAAATGGCCTGAGAAAAATCAACTCTGAGCAGAGCTCTCACATTTTATTCTGTAATTTCATCTGCTTACTGTTACAGTGTATGCCTTTGCTTTGGGATCTCTGGATCTGGACTGTGCTGCATCAAGCATGCTATTAATTAGCAATGCTCACTGAAGGCTATTTTTGTTCTACACCACTCATATTTCATTTTGGGTGTATTCCTACATTAGTGGCCTTGTGCAAAATTGATTTGTTACTCATGTATATTGCAAGCCAACAGAAACGTGATTTGAATACTGTGCCAGCTTGCCTCTCTCGCAAAGCTTTTCCAAAAGTCAGCGTGCATTGCCTTGTCCTGCAAGACTAAAGAGACCTTTTGAGGGGCTTCTGTTGACAGGATACTGGTGAGGACATCCATTATGGACAAAAATACTGATAATTGTGAAGAAATTAATCATGAAAAATCTTAAACCAGGGAAGCTGCTGGAGGTGTAGCACAGCAAAGCCGTGGAAGGAAGGTGTGAGGCATGCCAGGTGAGTAGGGCAAAATGATCTGACACCTCAGTTTCAGGGGAGTCCATCTGTCAGTTGACATGGAAACAGGAGGCACCAGGAGCACCCGAAGGGTTCCTGAGAGCCTTGCCCAAGACAGAACATTCAGCCTTTGCACTGTGGGAGCAGAAGGGCTTTCGGAAGGGCACGACTTGAGGGGAAAGCAGCACTTTCTGAACTAGACAAAAAGAGGATAAATCGACTATTCCCCAGTATGCCACAGGTGCCGTGTAAAGTGCTGCCACTGTTTGTTGAGCAGAGGAGTCTGCACTGTTTGAGATTCAGATTCACACATATTTAGTTAGGTTTTCTTCCCTTTGGTCTGCACTGTGTAGGAGGTGAGATTAGATGGTCATAACAGCGCCTTCTGGCTTCAAAAGGTACGAATCCGTGACTTACACTGCAGTGTATTTCTCATTTGTGCCTGCTCTGTTTTGTATCTAGGACCTCAGTTTTCAGCCGTCACAGTCCTTACTCATCTGCCTTTGTAAACACAATGGCTCACATCCCTATAAAATATCAGAAACAAAATGTTTTAAATTTTGCTATAAAGTCCCACTGCAGGATTTACTTTTACTTTA